GCAGGGCTGTGTGCTCCACCCTCGACGCTCCACCTCGACAAAGCCCTGTGCAGTAATAGCGCCTCTTTGGAAGTGGGTGGTTGCATAGGAGTAGCAGCCTCCGCCCCTCCCTCCTTCCTGACGCCTCGCCATCTCGCGCCTCTCCCTCCTCTCTCTCTGCCTCCTGTCCCTCCCCGCTCTCGTCTCCCTCTCCCAGTTCTCGCTTCTCGCACGGCGGCCCCTCCTTCCTCCTTCCTCTCTCCTCTCTGTCTGAGTCATCCTGCATGTGCGTTGAGACTTGCAGGTGAGACTTCGCCTAGTAGGATGAATGTGTGTGTATATCAGCAAAGAGAAAGAAAGAAAACAGACAACCCAAACGAGGGATAGGGGAGGAGGACAGGGTCCACACCTGCACGAGCAGGATTATGGAAGGACGATCAGGGGGACAGGTGGGCTCTCCTGCTCCTGACAAGGGACACGACAGGCTCGCAGCGCGGTCAGCAAAGAATTCCGTGAGATCACAAAAATTTGCCTCGAAAAAAAGAAAGAAAGAAAACAGACACGCCAAACGAGGGATGGGACGAGGACAGGGTCCCCACCTGCACGAGCAGGATTTTGGAAGAACGATCAGGGGGACAGGTGGGGCTCTCCTGCTCCTGACAAGGGACACGACAGGCTCGCAGCGCGGTGCACGGTGGACTCCCACATCCACTGGCGGTCTCATCTCAGTCTAGCGACCTGCCTCCAGCTTGTCGCTGGCAGTCTCTCCTACCACAGGCACACTCACATACAATTTGCCTCGAAGAAGAAAGAAAGAAAAAACAGACAACGCCGCGAAATTCTTTTCGACGCTTCGTAAAATTCTTTTCGCGCAAAGGCCGAGACGAGAGCGGCGCCAGCCTGCTTTACCGACATCGATGGTGGCGGCGGTCAGCGCCGGCCACGGCATCTCCAACTACTACTCTTCAAAGATTGACGAGCTGGAGGCGCGCCGCTCGCGCAGCCCGCTGCCGCCGCTGCGCCGTGCCGCCGCGCCCGCCGCTTTCCGCGCCCGCCTGCCGCCGCTCCCTCACCCGCCCTGCGGCCGCTCTCTCGTAAGGTGGTGGTGCGCGAGAAGACGCAGAACCTGCGGCGGCTGGAGGCGCAGCGCAACGAGCTCAACTCCAAGGTGCGACTGCTGCGCGAGGAGCTGTCTCTGCTGCAGGAGCCGGGGTCGTACGTCGGCGAGGTCGTCAAGGTGATGGGCCGGAAGAAGGCGCGCCGCGAGGCGGCTGCGATGTCCCCTGGTTCGTGGCCACGCCAGCGCGCGCGTGCCCGCGGCGACAGGTGCTGGTGAAGGTGCATCCCGAGGGGAAGTACGTCGTCGACATTGACAAGACGATTGACATCACAAAGCTGAATGCCAACGACCGCGTCGCGCTGCGCAACGACTCGTACACGCTGCACCTGGTGCTGCCGTCCAAGGTGGACCCGCTCGTCTCGCTGATGAAGCTCGAGAAGGTGCCCGACTCGACCTACGACATGATTGGCGGCTGCGACAAGCAGATCAAGGAGATCA